GGTTGGCTCACACTGATTTGACATAGAAAGTTTCTCTCCAGAAGAGATTTCCTTGTGCAGAGAAAGGATGTCTATTCCATACTTATCACACTCAGAAGTGCTCCCTTTATTTTGAGTTGCCATATGTGACCTAAGGCACTGGTGTCCACTGATTAAATCTTTACAAGGCTTACATTCACAGAGTTCTGTGCTATTGTGGTTTCCTGCCTGTTGATAAAAAAGATGAATACTGATTAAAAGATTTTATAGATTCATTAAGAGTCCATGCATCCAAAGCCAGAAACATTATGATTATCTCAGTGTGACCATTTGCATTGTATATGTACAGCTTCTGTTCAGTTGATTTATAGTTTGAGTCTTGCTATGTTGCCCAGGCTGGCCTCAAACTCCTAGACTCAGGCAATCCTCCCTTCTCAGCCTCCCTAGTTACTAGGAATACAGGTATTGTTATATCTTGTATAAAGATCTTTCCCCAAAAGCCTCATGTGGTGATAGGTGGGGCTTTATGGAAGTGGCTGGATCTAGGGTACATGATACTGGGATAAAGGGTGTGATACTGGGATGAAGGGTGTGTGATTACTACATTATCCCAGTGATTGGTTTAGCATAATTCTGGGTGTGGATAATGGGAAGACCCACTCTGGATGTGGATGGCACCATCCCAAAGGCAGCTAGGCTGGAAGGAATAAAAAGGAGTGGCAGACTGCAGCTGTTGCTTCACTCCTTTCTGCTTTGCTACCTTCTGCCTGCCATTAACAGTTTCTCCTTTATGATTCCCCTCTGCCAAGTCACCCTGTCTTGGACCCAGCCAACTATGAGCTAAAAGCTTTGCAAACTGTGAGCGAAATAAACCTTTCTTCCCTTAACTTGTGGGTGTCAGGTATTTTGTCCTGGCAGCAAAGAAAAGTAAATAAATCAGGCATGAGTCACCACATCTGGTTTGTTAATTTCTTCCAGGTACAATGATGGAAGGCTTTTCTAGGAGCTCTGCTACCTATGTTGATTTTTAAAAGATTTCTATAGGATTTCAAAAAAATCTTTTTAGCTCTTCCTGTAAGCGGCCTGAGGTGACCTGTGAAAATGGTTCACTACTCTCTTGACCCAGAAAACCTCACAAAATCATGCAAATCAAGGGGCTCAAATCTTCGTGTTCACTTTAAGAACACTCGTGAAACTGCCCAGGCCATCAACGGTATGCATATCCAAAAGGCCACCAAGTATCTGAAGGATGTCACATTAAAGAAGGAATGTGTGCCATTCTTGCATTACAATGGTGGTATTTGGTAGGTGTGCCCAGGCCAAACAGTGCGGCTGGACACAGGGTTGGTGGCCAAAAAAAGTGCTGAATTTTTGCTGCACATGCTTAAAAATGCAGAGAGTAGTGTGAATTTAAGGGTTTAGATGTAGATTCTCTGGTCATTGAACATATCCAGGTGAACAAAGCACCCAAGATGTGCCGCCATACTTACAGAGCTCAAGGCTGGATTAACCCGTACATAAGCTCCTCCTGCCATACTGAGATGATCCTTACTGACAAACTGTTCCTAAACTAAAGGAGGAAGTTGCACAGAAGAAAAAGATATCCCAGAAGAAAGTGAAGAAACAAAAACTTATGGCACAGGAATAAATCAAGCATAAAATAAATGCAAATAAAAGTAAAACAAAAAAAAAATGTTTTTAAAACTGTCTTGTTGCATGTCTGGCATTTGTGGAAATTCACAAGCAACAAACTTAAAGCTTTGGGGCTCTTCCAAATTCATCACATTTCAGGTTTCTCTCCAAAGATGCTACTTTCTCTCTCTCTCTTAGGTTAAGGTAACTTCTCTCAATGTGTCTCACTGTTCTAATTTTCTTTAACAGAATTCCTAACCTTCTCTGAATATGGAAAATAAATATCCTTGTGCCTGGACATAGTGGCACACATGTTTAATCATGGCACTCAGGAGGCTGAGGCAGGAGGATCACCAGGAGTTCCAAGCCAGCCTTCACTACATACTGAGTTCAAGACCAGCCTGAATTACAGAGTGAGACCATGTCTCAAATAGAAAAAATAGAAATAAATAAATGAAAAAAACAAACAAAGGCAGAAAGAAAGAAGAAAAGGCAAGGGAACAGAGCCTTACCATCAATAGCTCTCCAGAGGTTTGTCCCCTGAGAAAATCCTGCTGAAATGCTGACCCTTTGGTTTTAAATCCCACTTTCCATTCTGCAGTCAAAGAGAAAATGAAATGTAAGGGTTTTGGAGACAGACATGGCAGTAGAAGAAGCTGAAAATGATATGGAGCATTTCTGTTTTAAAATTAAACAT